GGATGTTCAACCCCCAATGAGAAACCAATATATTACGTCCATGGAATTTTTTACAATAGAAATACGTTATTTGAGCGTGACTGCGTCACCTGTGACTTGATAAGCACACAACTTTACGCATACACGACCCACCCTTAACACCTTCTACACAGTGGAATGTACAGTGAATCGTACGAGCTACACTTACTTCTTCACGTCGAACCACCTCAAGTTGCAAACGCTTGTGATATTCCTCACATTCGTCTTTATATTTCTCCATTTCTTCTTTGGTCTGGCGCATTTTCTTCTTCAGCACGTCCAAGAGGGTGCCTTGCGGAATGCTGGTCGTCATATTTGACAGCTTTCTTTAAAACGAGGTGGGGTAAAAGATGAACAACACTTTTCTTTCTTTTTTAACTGACACCACTAATTTTGGCTTGATCGTTGTGGGTCGGTTAATTTGCGATTTGGCTTCGCACTTTTATCTATTAACAGCCAACACGCACAAAGGGACCACTCAGCTATTACTCGAAACTGGAAAAAGATAAACGAATTTTCGTTTTGTAGCTTTTATGCAACAAATTCAAAAATTTATTGATTTTCTACACTTGTGTTGTTTAATAATTTTCCATACTTTGTTTCGCAGCACCAAATATTAATCAAAAATTTATCTTTTGATGACTCTTGGCAAAATGAACACGGTGACGGCGGCTCAAACGACAAAAAAAACGTATGACACGAAAGGTGGCGAAAAAGAAATAGAAGATATTGCGGAACGCAACGAAACGAAACACAGTGCACGAACAATTTGGAACCACCGGTTTTTCTGCTGCTGTTCCTACTGTGCTCTTCCTTTTTCTACCTTTTTTTTTTTTAATTATTGCCTCTTACTTTAGCTACTTATCGTCGTTTTTTCTTTCAAAGGTAGCTTATTTGGATAAATTTTATTGAAATATGAACTTTTCTTCTCACAAATTTCAATATGCACTTTATGAATATTACCGATACAAATTCGCACACAAACAAGCACAGACAACTTTTTAAACTTGTGCAATTCTTGCCACAAAACACCACGTCTCGAATTAAAATGCCGCAGCGAAAATTGTATGAGCTCAGCACAGAAGGAATTCGTATCGCAAAATGAAATCGTTGAAAAAATTTGAATTCTTTGGAAGCGGCGACCAGCCACAAAGATTACGTTGACAAGTTTGCGTATTGTTTTTGCTGTCGCTGGAAAATGAACGACCAGAGAATGAAAGCAAAGCAAAACACTCTCACAAGCCTCGCCTTAATTTGTGAATGACTCAAATCGGCATTGAACAAGGTCGACTAGTACCTTAAAAAGTAGAAAATACTTCGGCGTACGCTGTTGTATGAAAGAGGCAGTTGTATATATGTACATACAACTGAAAATGGATGAGCACTTTGGAAATTAGTTAAATTTGCCGATGAGCAGTAAATATTTGTATTTGATTTGCGAATAAAAGTAAACTAAAAGTTTAATAGAAATATATTTTTTATTAAGAGGAGAAGCGTAGTTGCACTTTCTGCTTAAAACAGGGTATTTGAAGGACCCTTGGTGTAGGATAAGCTTTTAACTAGATTCCAATAGGATATTTCAAGACTAGGCTCTCTCAAAGTGGTACAAATGTTGCCAGAGGTATACAATTTTTAAAAATGTATAGAATGGCCGGTTCGAACTGATAGACCCGAGAAATTTTTGTTTTAAGGAACGAAGGATTCAAACCAGGGATGGGCGAAATCAGGTAAATGAATAATTGAATAAAAGAAATAAACAAGAGTAAATTTCCATTCATCATTCAAGTAATTTCGAATGAAGAATACATTTTTATTCTTCATCCAAGTAGTTTCAAATGAATAAATTTTGATTCACAATCAAGAAATTTCAAATAGCGAATAAATTTTTATTCATCATTCAAGTACTTTCAAATGAAGAACTAAATTTTCATCAGTAAATTCGAATAATAAATTAAAAATTATTCGTTTTTCAGAATCACTTAAATGAAGAGTAAAATTCGTTAATTTAAATAACTTGAATGAAAAATAAATACTTATTCTTATTCGAAATTACTTTCGTTTTTTGAAATTCCTTGAATGAAGAATAAAAAGTTATTCGATATTTCAAATTCCGTCGTTCAACCATAGAAAAATTGTGAATAAAATTTAATTTTTTATTTGAATAATAGTTCATTCAAAAACGTTAATTCCTGATTGAAACATATAGCAGAATCGAGGTAGATAACGAATTGGCGAATATATATTAATTTAAGTTATTATTTCAAGAGATAGTATTTCGCTACTGTGAATTTGTCCCTTAGTAGATTATATCAAGTTAAGAGTAGCAAATACACATTAGCGGGGGTTCAAACCCCCCAAAGCTAATAACCTCAAATAAATACAAACTGTATCCTAAAACTCAGAATCCAGAGCTCAAGAAAAATCATAATAATGAGTCGATTATGGATGGCAGCGCAACATCATTTGGGTTGCCGATAAGCAACGCCACTGAAATGGAAATGTATATTATGAATAGCAACTATAGTTCTATAAAGTTCCAGGTCATACAATTTGGAAGAACCAGCAACTAAGATTTAAGTGTAAATAAGCTGAAGAAAAAATTGAAAAAATAAATAAATATTTTCGACTACAGTAGTATCGATTTTGGGTATTAGATGAAAAAAAATTATCTTAATTTTTTAGTCTTCATAGAGGAATCTTAACTTTGTCCACTGTGCGACACGTCGTAACCGTCTCCAATAGGGACCAATATTATATGTGATATCTTCGACTATAGTAGCATCGACGTTGGGGCTTAGGAAATCTGATATAAAAATTTGCTTCCTATATTTAAGGACCACCCTAATGTACATAGACAAAATTGTTTGACTCTGTACATGCGAATAAACGTTCGCACGTAACTTTTCCATTTATAGCAAGTGACATATGCAGGCACACATTGTGCATGATAAATAAATAATAATAGTAATCACTTAGTTCGAACATTGACAATGAAAAGAAATTAAAAGTTTAACATTCTTTTTTTGCCATTTTTTTTAACCTTCCCGCATTTGTCAAAAATGGTTTACAACGTAACGACGACAACTTTTATTGTGACTGCAATGGCTGACGCCAGTCGTAAGGTCGTTGATTCCATAAAAGTCGCCAGAAAAGAGCGAGAAACGTGAGAATTACTTTTCTCAAAGTATGTAGCTATGCACTTATTTAATAACAATTATGAAACTGCGTTAACGCGTTTTTTTTTGTTTATGATTTTCAATTGATAGAAATCATTTAACTATAAGCAATTTTTCTCTAAAAGCACTTACTAAAAATCATTTTTGGTCAGCAAAACGAGCAGATCACTTGTTACAAAGTTGGTTGAAAGCCAATAGAAATCGAGAATGCTAAGCAGCATACAGCACCAGTTAGTTGATTCAATCAATTTGTTACCATAAAAGGTGTTAATGACCATTTGAAACATTAACGAGCGTTAAATGTTAGTGCATGAAAAAAATACAAATGGCAACAGGTTAAGAACGTCTTTCCATAAAATGGTTTTGTGTGGAATTATTGAGAGACAAACTGATAGCTTTCTTTTGGTGGGAGTGCGGAGAGGCTAGACGCTTGTTACACATTATATAACTTCAAAGTGCCGAAAAGACAGGGCATTGAACAGTTTTTTGATAAGGGGGAAATTGCATCTACCTTGAATAATTTTAATTGCTCGCGTTGGGTATACCAAACAATTTTTAACTTTAATTGTTCAATTTTGAAGCTAAAATTCTTAAAATAATTTAATCTAAACACTCAAGAGGATGATATATAATTAATGACAATTAGACAAATCGAAATTTATGCATACGTCCACACACAACACCGTTACAATACTACATGCATACATATGTACATACACACGTACTTCATTCGCATTTCGCAGCCTAAATTTGTGCAACAATTAAATTTAAAGCAATATACTGACAAAGAATGAGCTCAATCTTATACAACTATGCCTGCCAAGAAGGTCATCGTCTCGCCGAGTATGTGCGAACGTGAAAAAAAAATTCACAGCTTAAAAGCAAGAAAAGTGCGAATAATATGTACGTATTCTAAACTGGGTCATTATCTAAAAGAAGGACAAAGTACAAAAGTTTTACACAGAAATGTGTTTCCAATTATTCATGAAAGTATGTAATGCATACAAAATCATTAACATTTCCGTTAAATTTACATATAAACCTAAATAACTATGTATGTACATTTGTATGTTTGTACATATTATTTACCTAAAAATGTACAAGCACTGAAGTAAGAGAGAAACCTAGAGCGATAAGATGAAATAGGTAGGCAAACAAAGAATATTGCAGTCCAATCACTTGCATGACAAAGAAATCCTTACAACGATTCCGAAGAAGTACACAGTCACAAACCGACTGAGGCGCATAAATGGGAATAAAATGAGTAAAATGAGAATTGTTACTAAAAGGCGGTGCGTTGTTTACCCCCGCTACGGTTATCTGAAACGACTTATGGCATTGTCTCATAAAACTAGGCGAAACCTGAAGTCAATGCAGCTCGAACGGTTGGGCTGGGCAACTGTCGATACACCCTGATATACCCAAATGAGATAAGTTAACGATGTGCTACGTAATCATTATAAAAAGCATAGCTATAAGAAAATATTTGGCAATTGCCAAGTGTTCAAACAGTTTTCAGTGAAGAATCCATTTTGCTTATGCACAACAACTGTGCTCTATACCTCACTCGAAATTGTCATTTGATTGCGGTGTACCTATTTATGATGAACTCAGGTCAAAGCATTTAAAGTTCCTAAATAATTCTTTTGAGCTATCGAGATCTTTTAGTCGTATCGATTACTCTCTAAGTAAAGTAGGGTATTTGCACATATTTTTTACACAATGATTAGATATTATGTTAATTAATTTGAAAAAGTAAATGTTCAAATTGAAAATACCTTATGGCATCATAATGCAATTAATTACCCTTTTGAGCTGCGTTTTCATGATGTTATGTAATTCGTTACGTATAATGTTGAACTTCATCATAGTATCCGAACTAAATATGGACCGTCCAAATGCTAGGCCCGGATAGTCTGCACAACGCCCTTTATTACGCCGCGCTTCACGTTCTGCTACGATTTCAGCAGCTTCACTGGTGCAACGCAGTTTAGCCCACTCGGCCGCTTGCACATCATCATCATCAATTGCAATACCTTCATCTGCTGCTGCATTCGCGTCAGCAGAGCTAGTTATATTACCCTCTGCGTCTAAACAAGTGGAAGCGCGCTTACTTTTATCTTTCTTCGTTTTCCTTTTCCTATCCGAACGTTCTGCCTTCTCGGCTTTATCACGTTTAGATTTACTTTTTTGTGATTTTGGAGTCACACTCTCAGCTGCAGTAGTGCTTGTGGGCGTTTGTGCGCTTACCACACCTTCATCCACCATACTGCTGTCATCTGTCGGTGTTGGGCTGTTGCTGCCCATCGAGTTGGTTACCGAATCTGTTAGTGGCAAATTGAGCACTGTGGGCTTTGTAGGCTGCAAATCTAGCTCTTCATCGGGCTCATCTGTATATTGTAAGTCACCCATTGTGGACGAAACAGTTTCAACATCGCTGCCGGTGCCAGCCGCAGCGTTATCTTCTTGCACAGCTTGCGCTGCTTGACGTAGATTCGTGAGCACACTCTGTGAATCGCCGCGATAAAGTGCAGCGAGTATCTCTTGAACTTTGGGAATATTGGGACGGCGTGTACCTGAAAAACGCGGGTGGTGCTGATGTCCGCGTCGCTTAAGCGTGGAAGGCACCAATGGTGATGTGGTCGTTGTAGATGCAGAACCAGCGCCACTTGTAGTGGACAGCACGTCTGCATCTTCCGAACCTTTTGCTCCAGTTGACATATCTGAATCGCTCCACTCAACACTCCAGTCACTCTCGTAGTCGTCGTCAACGTCACCTTCGTAGTAAACCTCAACTGATTTGGCCCCCTCCCCGTTGCTATCGCACAGTTTGCTTACACTAGAATTCCGAACACTGCAAGCATCCTGCTCGTCATCACAGTAATATAGCAGCTTATCCAGATAATTTAATTGCTCCTCGATCGAGTCCCAACGCGATGAAATTACAGACTCTGCATAAGTTTCGTCAAGGTGCTTGCTTAGTTCATGTACGCTATTTAATGGTTGTTTACCTTTTGGTGGATTTTGTTTTTTACTACTGCTACTGCAACTACCTGCTCCTCCGCCACTGTGGGCATTTTTCATGAAATTTTGCAATTTTGCCTTGTGTTGGTGCTGATTTTGCTGCTGTTTTTGTTGGTGCGACTGCTGGTACTTTTGCTGTTTCTTCTTTGTCGCTAAACAGCTGTTCTTCGTTTGACACTTGACTTCTACCGGAAGTGCTTTTGTTCCCAAACCGAATTTGGTAATGCATTTGGTCCCAAACCGATTACGGGTGCGCAAGGTTGCCACACCTGTTGACGAACTATTGGCCGCTTGTTGGTGCTGCCAGTCACAACCGCCACTGGTCAATAGATGGCGGTGTGCGCGTTTAATTTGGCGGATCTCTTGATTTGCGCGTCGACGACGGATATGCAACAAAGGCGACTGCTGCCGTTGTACTTGTTGCGGTAGCTGTTGATGGCGCTGTGAATTTGGTTGTTGTTGTTGTGCCTGCTGCTGCTGCTGAGTTGGCACGCTGCCAACTTTCGTTTTTATTTTGCCAACTGTGGGTGTTGTCGCCTGCTTGATTGTGGCGGCGGCTGCGGCACAGTGCGCCAAATTTCCTCGTTGATTTGTTGACGTTTTCGTCCTTGAGATCTTTTGATTATTCGCTGTTACTCTCGCAAGCAATGCGACATTAGTTTGTGATTTTGTTATTGCTTGCGTATTCTTATTTAATGTTATATTTTTAATTTGCGTATTTGATTTGTCGGTGCTTCCACCACCTCCTCCTTTTGCCTTAGAAAGGGTTTTCGATTGTGCCTTTTTATTATAACTCACTACTTGCCATGCGTTTGTATTTGTTGTATTATGAGCGCACAGTGTTCGTTGAATCATAATGAGTTTGCTCGGTGTAGAAGTTTTTTCCCCGAATTTGCGCACAAGATTAAGTTAATCTTTAGGATTTCATGAAAATCCAGTGAATAAGTGATTTATCAAAATGTCGAACTGTTTGAATTTTTATAATCTGAATGCGTTTTCTGCTGCCGTTGCGGGTAAAGGTTCAACTGTCAATCTATCAATGCAGTTTTTGTTTCCTGTTGCTGTTCAGTTTTTGTGGACTGCGACTGATAAGATTTCTAGTCTTTGCTGTTAACTGTGTACATGTTTGCAGTCAATGCTATAGTTTACATAGATTGTGTTATCACGCTGTACAAAGTTTTTCCTGCTGCCGCTGTTCTTGTTTATGTTACTAATCTGTTGTGAATGTTTCTAATTGTTTATGATATGTATGTATGTATGCACACAAATTGCTGCGACTTGCGTTTAATGTTTTATATTTTCCATTTCGTAATCTTCACATTCATGTACTTTCTCCTCATCAAATGCTGCCAGTGCCTTTTTCACGCTGTATTGTATTTTATGTATGCTGCACAGCAGGGTCTCAATCACTCGTTACCGCCGCATATTTTTTTGTAATCATCTTGCAGTTGTTGGAATAATAGGTTTTGTAATAGTCATAGCAGATAAATGTTTAACTCAGCAAAATGGTAAAGTTTTAATTTATCGATAGCAATTAAGTTTGATTTTACAGTTTTTAAATGTTTGTGTATCTATGCAACCATGTTTACATATGCATACTCACTAGCTTAATATGTACGTGCTATGTACGTTTGCATTAGGTACATACATACATGCATATGCATATCAGCCGCTGGTACCGACGTTGTTAATATTTATCACACCCGTTAACGCAAAAATCGCGTGATTTGGTAATGATCGGTAAATTTTATTTATAAATTCAGAAAATAATTTTGCTAATCGGTTGCATATATCCGTGCTTCCGTGCTTGTAAATCAATTTACGTCAATATTTGCGATTCTCACAAAATTTCACTATGCGCTCCCACTCACTCAGCATTCTTGGCATTTGATTTTTCGTTATATATATCTTTTTGCAAATACGCCAGTTTTCCATAAAATCTCCACTCTAAACATTTATTTAACTTGCATTAAATCAAAATAGAGTTTCTAGTTTATTGTAATTGATTTGTTTGGAATTTTTTTAATTTATATGTTTAACCAAATGTCTTCTTTTGAGTAAATCCCTTCAACAATCAAATACGTTGGATTGTATGATATGACTCTTCGATTTAATTATGCGGCGGCATAGTTGGCCTCACTTCTACGATGATTTAATTTCTGCTGCTGATGCTGCTGCTACTTCTAACCACAGCTGGCTGCTGCTGGCGCTATTGCTGTTGCCTTTGCTTCTATTGCCATTCCCGTGGCACGTAATACTCATATGTCGATACATATAATGTACATGTACATATGTAGCGAGTTTGACCATCAAACGCTTAATTACTCCTCCTGCTATTCCATATGATTGCCGACAACCGCATACGCTCTCGCTCTCTGCAGTTGCTATTCGTACCTATACATATGTATGTATGTATATTTGTACTTTGCCTTGACTCACTTGAACCACCCCCTACTATGACAAAGCATTAGGTTGTGTTTACACTCCCAGTGATCTATTTAATTAGCGCATACAGCACAAATATTCGAAAAACTTTCTAGCAACTTGCTATGCTCTCACACTCTCTCCCTTTCGATAGTCTCTTAAAAATGTTCCACTTGACTTGCTGGCTATAGCACACTACACAAAATTCATGACCGTCGACCATCAACCCATCGACCCCACTGTGATCGTGTAGTAGAACTATTGGAGCGCGCACGCCCGCCCTATAGACATCCAATTTTATAAAAGCACATATAAATATATGTATGTATGTGTGCATGTAGGAGAGTATACGATTTGGCCATGTGCTTGTTTTCGCTGTCACTGCTACAAACTGTGCTCCACTTTCTCTTCTCTCCAACGAGGTCACAAGCGAAGAGAGTCTACTTGGGCAATTTATGGATGGCTCTATGTCTTCATGCGTATATTTTCATATCACAGATTTTTTTTTGAACATTTTCAGAATGAATATTAAGCCAATAAACAGCATGTGTATAGCGCCTTCTCCGCTTGTTTTCCATTAAGAGTGCAGACAAATGACGCATACGGCAAATGCATTACTCATCATGCATAGATACATCTGTGCATATGTATGTATGTAGATGCAAATAAAAAGATGTACATAATCATAATCGCACCGGTATGCCGTCATTTTTTATTTTTGTTGTGAAAATGTTTTCATTAAAACAGTAACGTTTAACAAAAGAATATTTAACGCACCGTTAAATGTCATTTAGATTTATATGTACAGTGACTGAAAGAATTTCAAAAACTCTTTAATGCTTCGTATTTTTAATCACATATTAGATAACAGTTTTATTTGTTGACACCTTCATTACCGTTAACTAATAGTAGCTAGATACTAAAATACTTTTCCTATTCACGCGACATGTGCGTGCCATTTTTTGGCACTGATGCTGCAGCACACGAACGACAATTACGAAATGAGCACAAAATATGAATTTTACGATATTTTGAGAAATTATTTGCAAAAATTTAAAAATATATATATATATTTAGTTAAATGCTTTGTCCATTTGATCAGTTGTGCACTCAAAATGCAATAATTTGCTTAAAGTTCGTTAAATATTTGCGAAAAATGGCAAACCAATGATCGATTACCCCCATTATATTGCAAATACTGGGAATTTTTTTAATAACGAAAAAAAGCTATTCGCCAAAATTTTCGCAAACTGCAAGTTAACTTACACTTTCGAAACGCATGCGCTTATTTTTCAAAACAAAAAAAAAAACAAGAAAAGAAAAATCGAAAAAAGCCGGCTATTGAAGCGCTACTCTCTCATTAGGAGCAGCGCTTTACTGCGTTATTTGATATTTTAGAATTTTACTCAGAAAGCTTTTATTTAGTAGCACATAGTTATGTATGTGTGTATACTGCTTTTACCTCTTTCCGCCGTATTTGGAAATGGGCGGTACATTCTTTTTACTCTTTACATACATTTTAGTTAGCCTACACAAGCACCTACATATACATATGTATGTATGTGTATGTAAATAGGTGTATGTGAATTTTCCGATTTTTCTTCATACAAATTAGCAAAAAGACTCTTCTTTTTATAAATAGACGTCGTCTCTACCTGTTAACGAATAAAAGCATGTTCAAGCAGTTGGCAACGCGCGTTGTTATTTTGCTGCCAGTTTTGACTATGGGCCATCAGCAAGGCACTCACTCAACTCAACGCGATGTTATCAGAAATTTCTTACATACACCTTCTCTGTTATTGCTACATAGATATATTATGCGTTAACATTACATCGTTTTCCGCTGTTGATCACGTATTCGCTGCGATATACTCGTTGCTTTTTGTTCATGCATACACACAGCGTTATACAGGACGTATGAGTAATGGATTTGTGTGTTTTTTTTGGAGCAGATGATCTATGTTCAGCTGATTTACTAACGACGCAAAGACATTTAGCGTTGTTTTTTTATTGTTTGTTTTGGTTTGAGCATAACTGACAACTAGAAATGTTAATGCATTTCTGGAGTGACTTGTAGCTGGAAAAATACGTCTTGTCTTGTCAAAGGAACGCATAATAGCGTAAGTGGTGTGAAATTGGGCTAATTGGGTTCTATTTTTAAGTTTAAATAAACAATTTTGCGCATTTTCAATAGCAGTATATCGGAAACTGAGTAATCATAGGCTTAGTATAGCTATTCATACTTTGCTATGTAGTATATTTGTCGGAAATTTATCCCAACAGAGTATTTGAGCATATCTTAGGTACTAATTTTAATATAAATTCATACACATTAATACTTATAGCTATTATAATTATTAGAATCTAAATGTTAAATGCCAACAAATAAACCCAAAATGATTACAACAAGGCAATTTAAAAATAAAATCGCTGATTGACTAAATAGACTAATTTTAACTAATGAAAACATGCAGCTTAATTGCTACATATGTACGCTAGGGTGGTCATCCAAATTTTTATATCATGGCACACACCTTTATTTTGTACGTAGAACAGAATAAAGACATCCACACAAATTTCAAAATTAAAAAATAGGGGCCACTACAAGTGTTAAACAAAATTATTATTGTTTTTTTGAAATAGCGAAAATTCGGAAAACTTTTCATCGGCTATAGCGAGTTAATGAGTTTATTTAAATAAGTTTCAATAATATGTTAAATTTATCGAATTTCAATTCAAAACTTTATCGAATTTTTGGGATTAAAAATATTAAAATTTTTCAAACCCTGATGCCGGCTGTCGCTAGACATTTTTTTCAATTTTGAAGGTTTCGTGGATGTCTCTTTTGTGTACGCAAAACAAAATAAAGGGGTGTCCTATACAAAGTTTAAATGTTGATATTTTTAATGACCACCCTAGTGTACATTATATTTTTTTAAAGAAATATTGGTACTCATTGGATTTATTTTCTCAATATTACCTTCTTATTAACTTAGTTTTCTAAAATCTAAGTCTTCTTCTGTATATATTTACTCGGTAGTAGCTTTATGTGTGTATATTAGGGCGGGTCAATTTTTATGGAAGACTTTTTTCGTCTATGTGCGTATATCACAGAAGGATTCTTCGTATAATTCTAAGCAAATTTGTCGAAGAAACCATGGGTCTAAAATCAATTTGGAGTTTGCCAATAGTTAATTAGCATTATTTCTCGCTCAAAATAATTACTTAAAGTCAACAATTTTAAGGTCATATTGAAATTGTGAAGCCTTAGATCTTCACTTTGTCATATTTTGACGACAAAATTGTTCGACGTAGTTTTACCCAACTTAACCTCCCCGCCGATTATTCTATGGGTCAAAAACAGACAGATAGCCGATTTACCAGCGCTTGTACTTGTCTAAATCAGATAGACCGTTTTTTTGCCATTGAATTGGACATAGTAAAAACCAGCCTTTATAAAAACTGGTACGATTGATTTAAAAACCTACAAAAAACGATACTTCGAGTTGGAAATTAATATAAATTTAAAGGAGAGACTAAAGTGGTCCAAGATATAAAATCATAAAAAACATTTAAAATCACTGTGGTAAGTTTAGCGTGACTCTTTAGCTCAAAAATAGTAAAAATCTAAGAGTATTTCAAAGCCATTTATAGGTTTCACACTGAACTCGTTATTGTAATGATTCGTCACTATTTAAGACGGTTACCCACCTTAACTAGCGACGTGTTTTTCACAGTTTTGGTCGATAGAATAAGTTCTATGCCTTGATTTTTTTTTAGCTTAGTTAGCAAATAAAAAGCTTTATAAAAGTTACACAGAGAAAAACTACCTAATAAAATAGAACAAAAATTGTTTTTTTTTTTAAGGCTTCGGTTAATTCAAGCAGAAAACTAATGCCGGATTTCCACAGGGCATTAAATGACAACACATTTTTGATAAATTTGTGCATTAAAAAACTCTTATCATTACGTTAAGAATGAATGTCATTAAGTATGTTTCCACATGCCATTTCTTTAGAAGTAATTTTTTCTTATTTTAATTTTTTTATGGGTACATTTTTTTTAA